GTAAATTCGTTTATTCGTTGGTCGTAATAATAGTAATAACTAATAGCATAATAATAATGTATAGCAATTAACACTAATTATACTACAGCCTATATTATGTACATTGTGGGCTGTGGCCAATCTATATGGCACAGAAAAAAATCTCGTACGAATGGTGCCGATTTCCGAGTGGGCATTTTTTCCCGCCAAGGTTTTATTTAAACAACTCGTTGGTAGAGCGCCCTAGGGTAATACCTATTATTATTATATGTTCCAAATATTATTATTATTGCCATTCATGACAAATTGACAAATAGAAAGAATGAGGCTAATTTGGTGGATAGAGGAGATGAAGACTTGAGTTACTCATTACTCCAGTTCAAAATGAAATTGTAGACCTAGGTCCTAGAGGTCAATGAAGTGTCAGAAAATAATAACCAGGAATCATCAGTCATGGAAAATGAAAATGACATATTGACGTACCCATCTAATGAAAGTAATGAAGATAGAGATATAGTTTTCAAAGAACTAAAATATTAAAAAAATTAAAAAAATTATAGGCAACTTAATCCAACAATCGTGAACATGGGGTAAAAGCAAGGGCTTTTAATATAAATTAACAAATCATTTTGAAGAAATTTTTTTTAAAAGTATTTAATGATATATTATTTATATTTAAAACGATTCAAATGTGTTCAATATTCGGGTCATATTTTTAATTTAATTTCAAACACACCACGTGTCATGAAGTTCTATCAATGGATGGTGTCTTCACTCAAACCCCCCCTGAATTGATGTAAATAATTGTAATTATTCAACTTGTTTGTTACACAACTTACATTACCCGTATTATTTTGTCTTTTCTATACTAATTCTTTAATCACTTGTGCTTATTGTAAACCATTACTTAACAGATAGTATAATTCTCTAGTTAAAAAATATAAAATTCAAACTTAATTACAATTTTTAAATTATATTTTAGTACGTTTTTGATTAACTTTATTTTACTTCCTTATACTTACAATAAGGGTAATAGTGTAATACAAAGTTTTTGCTAGCATAAAAAAGGAAGTTTTAGAATAATTTATTTTGGTATAGTTAATGATTGGTGCCTATTCTTTTAACAAGGATTATAGTTACCAGACAATAGTTATAGTGACCAGACGTACTATTTTTCGTAGTACAGTACTCTTAGTCTTTTTTGATATGTGTTCTAGTGCCCTTAACCAGTGGCGTGGTGAACAGTAATTTCAGAGGCAATTGCCTCTGAGATTTTTCTTAAATAGAGGGGTGGGTGGTAGCCAGTGGGTCCCCTAGTAAATGCAATTTGATAAACTAATTAGGTTGTCAATAATGATCTGAAATATAATTAGTCATATTATTTTAATACATTATTATGTATTATTACTTGGGATATATACAGTCCTCTTTTTTTATAAAATATTATGGACTCATCTCTCATACATGTTTATGATTTTTATAATTTGGTTATTAATTTATATTTTTTGATTTATCAAAGCTCAGAATTGATTGGTTGGTAGTTCAAGTTGATTTACAGATATATAAATATACATAAAAAAATATTTTTAAATATCTGTTATTTTTTTTAAAAATTTAAGGTAAAATTGGTTTCTAGTGTATGGTGTATAAATTGAACTTCGTCACAGTTATTGTCGTAATATTATGTAAAGAAGATAAGACAAATATAAAATAAAGCAATGGTCCTGATTTTTTTATTGCACCAGTGGCGGATCTAGGGCTTAAATTTTTTTGGCGGTGGGGCATGAATTGGGCAAAAGTACAAAAAGTACATACATTTACTACAAAATTGGCTAAACACAGTGTAAATCAAAGGGAAACTACTGTGATTGGAGGGAGGGGGGGGGAAATGCCCCCATTGCTCTCCCCCTGGATCCGCCACTGCATCACAGCATAAAATAAAATGAAATAATTAGATTTAAATTTGAATTTAAAATACTGAATTACCTCTTTTATAAAAAAATAAAACATAACCTAACCCAAAAGAATCCAAAATTATTATTTGCATTATAATCCAATTATATATTTAAAAATTTAAAAACAAAACCAATATTTACATATAAAGTTATGGTTAATTTACCATACCGGTAAAACTGTACACGGTAAATATACCACTGTACTAGTATAATAGTTGTACTATACTATCATTATGTACATAGTAAAAATGTATAATTAACATCAACATACCTAAATTTAAACTTCAAATTATAATTTGAAATTAAAAAAAAAAAAATTCAATTCAACATATCGTGTACACAATGTATAATTAAAAATTAAAACATGTTCCTGTGTAGTATATAGTATTACAAAATATGTATTAAACACAGTATCAATACTTGTAACAATGTATTGTATTATATATAACAGTCAAACATTAAAATATTAATTGTATATCATTTATTGTAATAAAAATATATTTTATATAAGCCACTTGCTAGAGGAAGACTGTGTGTTTCAGTTTTAAACAAAATGTATTAATTAATTCAATTAACATGGCAAAAAAATAATCAAAATACTTTTAAAAAAAAAAACTTAACATAATTAAGTCTCAAAAAAAATGTCTAACATTGATATTTTGATACATAAAAAAAAAAAACCTACTTAATAATATTGTAGAAATAACATATTTCTATTAACGAAACACAAAGAAAATGGAAGTAAAGTACAAAATGGAAAACAACATTTCAAATTGAAATTACTAGGAACAATCTACAATATAAGAAAAACTTGTTTTGCTTAAAGTGGAGTATTTGAATAATTAAGTTATCATTTTGCAAAATGTTTACATCTGGTAAATTATTTAAATTGTACAATGAAAAATATAATAAGAACATAAGTAACACGTTTAAATATTATTTCAAAACTATGAGACAATATAAAAGTTTTTGGTATAAATTAAGTCTAACATTGAAAAAAAGGCAACAATAGCAATGTAATAATAATAATTCACTTTAGAAAACAATTAAGATTTAGGTATTAGTAACAGAAATAGATTATAATTTAATCAAAAACTTAAAAGGACAATACATACAAACAATGAATTTACTAAACAAAATGTTTAAGGATAATTATGGGTAGAATCTTATTTGATAATATTACAATTTTAAAGCAAATAAAGTTAAAATAATTTTTGAGCTTTAGACATTAATGTAACAGTAAAAAGGCACTTGACATGTTCTATTATTGTTGCAAATACAAAATAACAATTTAATTATGTAACATATTTTTCAGATTATTATGGTAATTATTTTATATTTGAAGTGATTTTGCAACATACAATGATTTAAAATATGTTAACAGGATATTTAATTTTTTTAGATAAATAATAAAAGATTTATAATAATAGCATTACCCTTTATATCAAAATTAAAAAGTATGAGACACATTGCATTAATAAAACTAAAGTGTACTAAGTGTTAAGCCTAAGTTCTTCATTATTAGATAAAAAAAAATTAACGTTTATCAATAGACAATAAAAATTAAAATTTATCACACGATAGAACAGAAACTACAAATTAATCAATATTTATAAATAATAATTCACTGATTTTGTAATTGTGTTTAACACAAAATACAACCACATTCAATAGATTATAAATATATTGTATAAAAATATTAAATAATATTTTTGCATCATGAAGAACCTATATAGCACACTCATATAAACAAATTCAATTTTAAACTTAAACAATATTTTATTACATTAATTTTAAATATTTTTAAGTTATTTCTACAAATTATTTACATTAGTTCTGAATAACAGACTTTAACAATGTTAAGTGATGTAAAAAATAAAAATGGAGTAACTATCTACCATAAGTATACAATTAATGCACATTAACAAATATTTCTTGACTCCTTAAGTCCTTAATCCATAAGAGAAAACATCATTGGTGTAAAATCACAAGTAAGCTTAAGTTGTACATTTTATAGTAAAAAAGACACTATTTTGGTTGTAGCTGAATTACCCTGTACTTTTTAACATTCGTAAAAATGTATTTATTAATTTAATATTGCTTTTACATTATACCTTTCTTAATATATTTAACTTATAGAATGGCACCAAATTATTTAAATTAAATAAAGTAAAAATCTGTTTAAAAAACCAGTCTTTGATAATATCAATTACATTAATATCCATTTAATTATATTATTTGAAAAGCAAAATATTTCCAATCAATTAGAATAGTTATAAAATTCTGAAAACTGTGTAGTTAAAATATTATAATACCAACATATTATATTAGTTTAAGTTGGGAAATTTAATTTAAGTACCAATATACTCATTATTTTCCAAAATATTATAATATAAATATTATATTTAAAAACAATTGATATGTATCCCATAACAAAATATTAAATATGTGGATTATTCAATTTTAGTTTTAGTATTGGACTTTAAATGTATTGATATTTGATTGTTAAAAAAGTATGAATTAAGTTATAAATAAAAATATATAGTTATTATACTTTTAATGAAACAAATAAGAACAAGTAAAAGGTGGGGAAAAACATCCTTTTTAAAATCAATTAATTTTATAAAATGTGATGTCCAGTTGAAAAGTATAAATTTAAAAAATGTAATATGTACCAGGTATTGCCTTGGATTAAAAATTAAAAATTAGCACACAGAACACAAAAAATATTTAATAAATAAAGGTTTCTTCAGTATATTAATTATTTTTGGTTAAAACAAAAAAAAATTATTTTGGATCTTTATTTAGTTGATTTAAATATTATAAATATTATGAAGTATTTTTATTCAGCTTATCAGCGTTTTATTTAAAAATTAAATTATGTCCAGATATCATTAAAATAATTGTTATTTTTGAAAATAATGGTTATGAACAAGATTTATAAAATTAATTTTTTCAAACTTAATAGTAGTCATAGTGTCGTACAATAATTGACAAAAATTACCATGTATATAATATTAAACGGTGGGTTTAGCAATAAGCTAATATTTGTACTTATCAATTGATTTAATTTGTTGGCCAAATGCTTGGCAAAGGTGGACATTTTGGGTTTTGGTAAGCTGTATACTCAACAATATGTTGTATCAAGGAAGGAAACGCTACAAATCCATACATTTGTCTCCACTGTAGTTCTATTAGATGCTGTTCAGCAAGTGTTGTACTCAAGTCTTGTAAGTGAATACAGGCTTCTACGGTGGTAGCCCATATTGTTTCTATAACAGAAAATCATCCTCAATTCAGCAATGTCACTCAATTAAATTTATCTACAATGTTACCTACTAACCTAAATTTTTTAAAGATTTGTGATCGTGGTTAATGTCCAAATTCATCAATGCTTCTGTGCTTATAACTTCTCCTATTCCAGGTAAATTGTGCAACAATGGATATAACATTTCATTTGTTACAATAGTTGAACCCAGCATTACATGGTTTTTCACCATTTCTACTATTTTAGAATTCTCCTAAACCCAATGAACAGTATTAATTAAAAAATATCTTAATAATTGTACATACAGAGTGTTTCATACAGATAAAGTTCTAATAATAATTTGTATAAACACAGATTTTGAAGATAGAAAAAAAATTTCAAAAAAATCTTTATTGGGCCATCTCACCGAGTACGCCTATACTAGTTACCTCATTTATTTCAGAAACACCCTGTATATAAATTATAATTGTTTTACTTTATTAGATCCATCCAGAAGGCTTGCCCACACACGAACAGGAACGTGGGCAGTATCGGCAATGCATAGCACTCTTTTGGAAAAGTTATTATTATGAGACGTGGTTGGTACTTCCAAACTCATGTTACCATCTGGAAACACATCTACGATGACTACAACATCCGGGCCACCCAGTTTGAAGTCACCAACAATTTTTTTCAACTGCCACTCAGATACTTGAGTACATGCAGTGTAAATACGTTTGGCCAGATTTACTTTGTTTTTGCATTCACCACCGAAATCGCTAAGCGGCATGTTCTTACACCAACCTGTAAAAAAGAAAAATATATGAACAAAGTGCATTTAAGACACATTATTGCAGTGCAACTAAGCAAGTAACAAATTACCGCTGCTTACCGTCAATGACTCTCAGCGCATAACTCAGCTCGCACTTGAAATCAGCGAAGAAGGACAAATTCCTAACTGGCACCCTTTTCTTGCACGCTAGGCACATCCAGTTGAACTTGTCGACGACGCGTGCGCGATGCCACTGCATCTTGTCCGTGGTTAGGCACTTGGAGTTCGGGCACTTCTGTTCCTTGGCAATCAGTCCGTTTTTCTTGAGCCACTCGCATAGATCACCCTCACGGCCGGCCACGAGCAGCGGCTCGACGGTAGTCTCGAAAAAGTTCGGATCGCTGCAAACACCCGGCATGATGGACGGCACGTCACGACTGTACAATAATTTGTCGACGCTCACACGCGTACGACTATCATAGGGGTGGTTATTTAACAATAATTAAACAGTAATTTATTATTTTATCGTTACAACGACGATACGGGTCCGATCGATAATCGAGTCCCCCTGTACGAACAATCACGTCGTGCACGGGCAATACTAAAGTAATAAAATAATATGTTATTTGGTGGTCGCGTACTCACTTGCTTATATCCGGTGGCATCGTTATAGATTCCGCCCGCGGTGTGTGTAGGTCAGTCGGCAATCGCGTGTTCGTCGGACTCGACGGGGCGTGCGGGGGCGACTGTAGGCGTGCGGGGGTTGTCTCGGACGAGTATTATCCTCTTCTTCTTATACTCGGTCCCGAAAAACTATTTCCGTTGGCACGAACGGAATCAGAACGAGAGTCGTCGAGGCAGACCGGTAAAGACACGGCTGCTGCTGACGATAGCGATAGTGCCGTTGCTGCTGCTGCTGCTCGTACTACAACAGTTGTAGAGGAGGAAGGGAGCCGGTCGCATCGTCTAGTCGCGGTCTGTTCAAAGTGCTCAGTGCTGGTGCAGCGGCGAAGACGAAAATTTCGGCGGCGGCGGCGATAATAATAATAATAATAATAATAATAAAAATAGTTGATAATGATATTGTTATTGTATTATATATGTATATTCGTCGCGAGCATGTGCACGGGGGATAAAAATAGCCTGTTGAATGCTGTTGGTTGGAGCAGGGGAGAAAGGGTCGGAGGACGCGAACGAATCGGGCAGCGGTGGCGCTACGGCCTACGGGACTATCATGCCATAATGGTGAAAGCGTCGGGTATGCGACGGGAAGGGTGCGTGGGTGTCGCAAGCAACTAAGCGAGATTTGTTAACTCACAAACGTGATAACTGATAACGGGTACTCGAGCTCGATCACGCACCGGCGTCGACTGACTTGACCGACCGCCGCACTGGCAACGTCGCATTTCCGCCAACATTGATAGCGCACACCACGGTATGTAGAATATTGTGATAACACGTAAGTAAACATTGGCGGACGTCGGGGCCGAAGAGATTACTGTTTACTTACATGTAGAAACTAGAAATGTATAATATTATTACTATTTCTCGCAGAGACTGATAAAACCGAAATACCTACGCGAAAAGAAATTTCATAAACAATAAAACCGTCGGAATTCCGTCACCGCGCACGTCTTCTCCGATTGTTTTCGTTCTCGGAGAAAATGCACAAAAACAATATTGTCGCGTAACCGGACGCTGCCGATGTGCCCCATTATTCACAGTTGTACGCTTACATCGTCGGTAATTATAGTATTAATATCATCGTGACAGTAGTATTGGAGACGTCACTGTACTCTGGGTTTGAGAGCAGGCACGCGTAAAACATGGACGACCTAGGTAAGTTATTAACGTAGATATCTGCAGGTACCTAATAAGTAATAACATTAGTCATTAAGTCGAAGAACCTCCGGGTTATCACTGGACCGTCTGGACCCGTTGACGTCATAATTATAGTAATATGTCGTATTATAGGTATGTAGTTTGACACTATGTATCCTATGTGGACATATATATCATACACAAAACGTAAACATTATGTTAGGTAGTAATTTTGAGAATCTGGATCGAATTAACACCCAGCCGTATTAGACCATCGAGAGGTATAAAATATATATTATAGGACAGTAGCTTATACGTAGTATAAGTGTATATCAGTTGTATTAGGTAGGTTAGGTGCAAATTTTGTGTTTTTTATTTTTGTCTCGAGTATTGAAATTTGAAAGAAACAGTGCAGCTCTATAATGTCCATCGGTTTACGGTTAACGGTTTTAAATGGATCAAAATGTACTGTCTCATAGCACAAGATAGGAGGTGATCGTGATTTCTGGGAGAGGGAAGTTGCCTAGCACTGAAATAATTCCCTCGGTAATTCTCAATCCTTCCCAAAAATGTTCTTCCAACATTAAGTATACACGTAACCACACTATTTAAATGTAAACTACATTAAATGCTAAAAATGCCTAAAATAAAAAACGTATATATACTTGGTCATGATATATGGAGTACCACATTATTTAGAATTATCTGCGATGATGTTGTAAAAAATATGTTTTAAAAATATTTAGGTACCTATAATACAAGTTTTTTGACACTATTTGCCTATGTGCATTACACTGCATGTAGGTATGCACAGTGTGCACGGCTCTGCCAATTACCAACGCATTCAAAAAAATACACACACAAACAAGCCCTCGGTGTCCTCACTGTGGTTCCAGACGGGTTACAAAGTAATGAAACTTTACTGGTATCACAGCCGACACAGCCCTCAGGGGAAGCTTATGTAAATTATAATAATAATTTCTGTCGACTGTAATGATTTACTAGTTTATTTAAATTTTACTGAGTTCATGAAAGATGTATGCACTGTACAGTACGTCTGTACACTATTTAGTATTTACGTTAATTTTAAATTTATAACGAACTTTGTATTTACCTATTAATTGTTGCTGGTTGATCAAAAATGTGGATAATAGAATGTTTTTAATCAACTTATGAATAGCTGCTAGTGAATATTAGGCTAGCTGCTATTAAAATATACTTGGAAAGAGGGCAATTCGTACCCCCCTTCCCCACAGGAATTATTTATAACCACCATTTTGATCTAGGCTCGTAGGTGATGGGTCAACGATATAATATATTATATTATATTTATTTAGTATATACTATGTCGTCTATACCTATATAATATAATATATATATAGATAACAAATTAACAAATTAAGAATAGGCAAAAGTCTATCGTTTTAGTCTGTAGGGGATGGGGGGGGGCTAGGTAATCAATATTTTAAAATATCTTATTTAAAAATGCTTAAATAAATTTTATACTCGAGGTAATGTGAATAGAATTATCAAGTGAAGTTTGAACATTTTACTTATATATAATAATAAATAGTGGGTGTGTACATTTTGTTTACTGTATGTGCTAACAAAACCACCATGTGCGCCACTACACATGCACATGCTGTTCCGGTTTCAGCAATATATATTTTATTTATTTTTCTAGGTAAAATGTATATTTTTATCTTGTTTTAATGAAGTATTAATTTCAATGTTTGTGACTTGCGTAGCTAAAAATATACAAATATCGTATAATATACTATTAATACGATTATATACTTCATATTATGATCGTATTGAGCCATTTGTAATAAATACGGAAAAATCTAGTTTTAAATCTATGATGACGAATCATTTAAAATTTTATTTTTAGTCTTCTTTTTATATTGTTTTTTTTATACTATAACGTTTCGTAAAACCATCATTAATGTAGGAAATTCAGAAAGGTAATCGTAAATCGTAAAGTCGCAAGTTTAATAAGACTCTAAATCAACATTTTATATTTGCAATGTTATTTATAACAGCTCGAGTTGAGTGCCCCAATACCGGGTCACTGCGCTATATCCTGCCCGACTTCTACTGATTACACGACAATATGAAATGCATATTAAAATATTTACAAAAACACTCAAGTTTTAGTATAAAAATGTTTAACTAGAATTCAATGATATATCATTGTATAAAATAAAGATTCAAATTAGTGACTGTAAGCGTTTATTTCTAAAGCATTTTATATTTGTTTATTAATTATACCCGGTAGATTGCACTATTATTTTGAAAATATCAATGTATACTGTATAGTTAATACAATTAAATTAAATGGCAAAAAGTTTCCAGCCTCGACGAATAATATTTTTTGAATTAAAACAAAATAACTTAAATTGTTATTTTCTCCTATACTTAGGTGTCTCTACATTGAGTACTATGTAACTGTAACTTTAAGTGTTATATTTGAACTTACAATAAATCATTGTCCACAATAAATGATTCTGAATCGATGCGATATGTCCACCTCCATTTCTAATGATATTTTATAATTTTATTAAGTACTATTAGTAATAGCCAATAGGTAGACACAGTTTGAAATATATTTTATTAAAAAATATCGCATATATAGGTTTTTAGTAGTAATTACTAATTATTATTTACTAATTTACTATCATAATATTAATTAAGGATACCATCTATAAGTCAATACCGTAGAATGGTGTAAATAGAATTGTAGTATACCTTTTTTGGAAATGTTATTGCGAAAATAATCTAATTCTAATTAATAGTGAAATGTTTCAAGTTTCTATGATTCATATATGAATTGATATATGAAATTATAATTGAAGTGAAACTTCTTTACGCAGGGTAGTGAGGAAAAACGAAATGTAACGAACAAGCGGCGCCAGTGTTGCCAGACTCAAACTAATATTATCGTAAAGTACTTAAATAATTATCGTTTTTCAAAAAAAATTATCGTACACCAAAATTGTTTTGCTTCAGTGTCCAGATTATAATACCCTGTATCACGGACTATTATATAATAGTCCGTGCCCTGTATAGTATATAATATTATATTGTATATACCAACGCAAGTGTGCATTCGGTATTGTTACAACTCACGTCTCACCGATGCTTCGACTGCTGTGGAAAACTTGTAAGATCGTACTCACGAGTTTTTACATGCGTATTCTAACGTTAGGGTACCACAACACGCGTATATACCTTGATCCTCGTACAGTATATATATATATATATATATTTATTATATATACACCATACACATATGTTATCGTGACTGAGACAATATAATGCGTTGCAGCATGTATATATGCTCTCGAAAAGCTTCGTGGTGCCGATGGGATTTACGATATATTATTATACCTACACCAGTATATGGTCTGATTGTACACCACTAATGTACCTATTGAGTACCTAACTATAATAATATATAGATATGTAGGTATACCTGCAGCGTGTGTATGATTGTTGTTCGTACATTAAAAAATACACATGCCGGCGTTTGTTGACATTTGGTCGCGTTGTTTGATTCATTACCATGTGATTAGCCGGAAACGACTTAAATAATAATAGTGTGTGTAAGAATAGTTTGTAATAATTTGTAGAATATTGTACTGACGTTCAAAATGTTTGTTAGTTCGCAGTTCGGTTATTATTAATTAATCCAAAAAATGAATGTAAGTTAGCCAGATCAATAGATAATCGTTTGTAGTATTGTTTTTATCCAGAAAAAAGATTGGTGAGTGAATTCATTAATTAATATCAAATAAAAAAAAAAAATAAGAGATGCAAGCGTTGCGAGGTAAGTGGTGGTCGTGAGCCGCATTAGTTAAGTGACTTTTTTTTGCTGCGAATAAATATTATTATAAACGTTACAAAATAAAAAACAGATTCATCTATCTTGGCCCATACTAATTAATATGAATAATTAATGATCGATTATTATACCATCTATACTGAGAGCCCAATATCAGTTTGCGTCTAGTATATTTAATTATAATTGTTATCAATTGATTAATTCACTCACAAACCTTTTTCCTGGATAAAAACAGTACTACAAACAATTATCCATCGATCTGTCGAATAAAAAATAATAATAGTATCAATAATAAATAATTCCAGATAACTTCCTCTCATTTTTTAATTTAATTAATATTAACTCACGTGTACCGTTCAAAAGAAGTTTCACTTCCCGCGCTCGTACTGGTAACACACACACTTTTTTTTAGATTCTGAGCGGAGCGATGAATGTATTGATTTTACAGTGATGTGTGTTTTTTGATTTTTTACACTATATTATTATATTATTTTTTGTATTATTACTATTTTGTATTTTTTTTTTTTTTTTTTGGTGTCTCATCACCGTTTTCAAAAAAGAGCAGGCAAGTTCAAACTTTGATGGAATTTATCAAATTGAAAATGTACAAAATATTTAGTAGTTAAAAATGTTCAATTTTTTAGCTAAGGATTAAAAATGTAAAACTAATATTTCCGCATAAATAGGTTATAATATATAAATTACTTTATTCACAATAATATCATCAAATATACTTGGTAATACTGGCTGACTGTCTAATTAGTTAAAAATGATTGTTTTATACATACCATTGTCCATTATGTTAATATAATATCAAATATTGAAATATAGAGGTATATATCAAATATTATTAATTTTTTTTCATCTTCATAATTTTTTTTTAGTAATTCTTTTTTTAAATCGTCAAATATTATAATAATAAACGTGAACGTTTTTTAAACCCAAGTGCAATTCGACTATCCCTCTTCACTCAGAATCGTTTTTCTGATACAATTAAATTATATCATTGAATTCAAATTTAACAATCTATTACAGTGGACTCACTTGTAACCTTCTGAACAGCAGAGCTATGCATACTTGCCCTCCTTTTTTAATTACATACAAAAAAATAACAAACATTGTACGAGGGTAAATCTTTATTTTACGTGTAGTGTTCTAATGTGTGAACATCCAA